GGGAAGGGGAAGGGGAAGGGGAAGGGGTGTGAGGTGGCCCGAGGGTGGTCTTTATTATCTAAAGGGGGCTGTAAGAAGGAAGAGGCCAGACTCTTCAGCGGGGTCTGGACAGATGGGGCAAGGATAAAGAGCCCTGATCAATACCTTCAAGGAACAGACATTCTCCTTCTGCACAGCCTTTACAGATACAAGCCCTGGAGATAGAAACTCCACTTTCTGGAATGTCTGTAATTCATTAGAAACAGCCCAGTTTAAAACACTTGTACTGCCTGCAGAGCAGGCTACCTGAAACACCTCTGAAATCACAGCTGACACAGTGAGCTCTGAACATAAATTCCACACAAGTTTATCTTTTAGCAGAATATTACTGTTATTTCTACTGGCTGGGAGAGGCATAACTGATGTGCAAAGGTGAAAGGATTGCACAGGGACAAATGGAACCCATTAAGCAGAGCTTGGAAGTGAGGAATGTGAGCATTGCGTTCTTTCTCTCAGGAAAAACAAAGCTGAGCGACACGTGTTCTGCCCTGCACTTGTCATTGCTCACATTCTGTGGCAAGCAGAAACCTTCAAAAAGAAAGCTCCTTTGCTAAGATAGATGCCTAAGGACAGAGAGGAATTCTCAAGAGACACATTTCTTCCTACACAACCCGTGAGAAAGCCCAGACGGCTGGCTGGACCTGGGCACTTGGTGGATGAGGCCACACAAATCCAGAAGGAACTGCTCCTACAAAGGTTGGGTGCTGTTTCGTTTGATCTGGTGATGCGACTTCTTGGTGCAATTCACCATTCTTACATTATTAGTTTTTGGAACGTTCCTCACAAAGCAGATCACAGCGATGGGGGTCACAGTCTCATGTTAAGAGTGGACTTTTGCCTTATTGCTACAGTTGCCTGATGATTTTCTGTGAAATTCTGCCATATGCTATACACGATTTCTTCTAAGTACAAGAAAATCATCTCTGTTTTCCCAACATATCTTTCTGTGCTTTGGATGACTTCAGAAATGCGCTCCTTCCCAGCCCTTCACCTCAAAGATGCTTGGTGACACCGGATATCACATCATCTGGTCCGCAGTAAGACATCAGGAAGGTTTTTCACCTCAAGTCTTATTTCTCCTGCACTTCTCAGGAGCACAGCTGGATGGTCTGCAGCCTGCAGGAGTCGTGGAGACCGCAGTGAGTCTGCAGGGGGAGGCCGGGATCTGTCTCTCAGGACCCCGACTCACATTTTCTTGGTGGCTGAAAATACTGTGGTTGGATTTTCCCTCTGCTGACTTACTTCCTAAGCTCTAAGCCAGGGAAAAGGAAAGAGCAGCGTGCCATCTCGTTGAGGATCCCTGCTGTTTTTGACAAGCCGCGAGCTGTGCTCTGTGTAGTCACCTCCTGATCTTACGCACCTTCAGAGCTGCTCCGTGAGAGGATTTTACCTATCAACAAATGCTTTCAGTATCACCCTCATCAGGGCATCCTTCACCTCCCTGTTCCTCAGGCTGTAAATCAGGGGGTTCACCGCAGGGATCACCAGCGTGTAAAACACAGCCGCCGCTTTGCACTGATCAGCAGAGCTGCTGGGTCTCAAGTAGATGAAGAAGAGGGTGCCATAAAACAGGGTGACAGCAGACAGGTGGGAGGCACAGGTGGAAAAAGCTTTCCACCTGTCTTGGGCAGCGCGAATCTGCAGGACAGCAAAGATGATGCACAGGTAAGAGATGAGGACGGCGCCGACGGTGCCTGAGCCTGCAGCTGCAGCCAAGGCCACGTGCAGCCCGTGAGCAAAGCGCGTGTCGGAGCAGGAGAGCTGCTGCAGCGCCGGGATGTCGCAGAAGAAGTGATCGATGACACGGGACCTGCAGAACGACAGGCTGAACAGGGAAGCCGTGTGGGCGACTGAATTGATGCATCCACACAGGTACGAGACGCAGACCAGCCGGCAGCACTGCTGTCTGGACACGAGCAGCGCGTAGCGCAGTGGGTTGCAGACAGACACGAACCGGTCGTACGCCATCACGGCTAGGAGCACGACTTCAGCATTGATGGAAAAAGAGTGAAGAAAAAACTGTGCAGCGCAGCCCGGACGTGAAATTACCTTCTTCTTTGCTAACAGATTCGTCAGCGTCTTGGGAGCGATTGCAGAGGAGTAGGTGATGTCAATGAGGGCCAGGTTGCAGAGGAAAAAGTACATGGGGGTCTGCAGGCGAGAGTCGACTCGGGTTAATGTGATGATGGTGAGATTCCCCACCAGGCCAGCGGTGTAAATGAGGAGCAGCAGGGTGAAGAGGAAGGCTCGTAGCTGAGGGCTGTCAGTGAAGCCTCGGAGGACAAACTCTGTCACCTCGGTGAGATTTCCGTCCAGCATCCCTCTCAGGAGAACCGTATGCAGCTGCAAGCAAGCAGACACACCAGTGAGCAAAGCAGAATAGCCCTTATCTCAAGTTTTACTCTTTGACAGCAAAGTGAATAAACAGAGACCTCCGGCACTAGAAAGTGTGCAGGTGGGGTAAAAAGAAAGAAAAAAAGTTCTCCTGTCTTCTTTCTTCCTGTCTTCTTTCTTCCTGTCTTCTTACTTCCTGTCTTCCTTCTTCCTGTCTTCTTTCTTCCTATCTTCTTTCTTCCTGTCTTCTTTCTTCCTGTCTTCCCTCTTCCTGTCTTCTTTCTTCCTGTCTTCCTTCTTCCTGTCTTCTTTCTTCCTGTCTTCTTTCTTCCTGTCTTCTTTCTTCCTATCTTCTTTCTTCCTGTCTTCTTTCCTCCTGTCTTCTTTCCTCCTGTCTTCTTTCTTCCTATCTTCTTTCTTCCTGTCTTCTTTCTTCCTGTCTTCTTTCTTCCTATCTTCTTTCTTCCTATCTTCTTTCTTCCTGTCTTCTTTCTTCCCGTCTTCTTTCTTCCTGTCTTCCTTCTTCCTGTCTTCCTTCTTCCTGTCTTCTTTCTTCCTACCTTCTTTCTTCCTGTCTTCTTTCTTCCTATCTTCTTTCCATCATGTGGGGATGGACAGTGAAATGCATTTCAGAAAATTCTTTCCCTTGGTACACAATGTTCCAGCAGCTGGGGTGAGCTCACACTTGCTGGATGACTCGTCACCTCTTTGGGAGTTGCAGGGGTTTCACATCAAAAGCGACCACGCGAACATCCTGTAAAGCTGTCACGGAGATCGACTCAGAGGAAGGCAGCTGACAAGAATCTCAGCCTCATTCTGAAGCATAGCACAGTGCTCCGAGGTGGAAAAGCTTGAAGAAGCCCAGACCCTACAGCCCTTCCACTGCTGGAATTGGAAAGCAGCGCTGTTTTCTGACCAGCTGCTCAGACTGCATTTCAGGATGAACGCTGCTCACTGCAGCTGGACTTCCTCTCCCTCACTCCTTGCATTCATTCCCCACGAGGTCTCCCCACCACATCCTTCCTCACTTCCCCTCCTTCTTTGACCCGTGTTGGCCTGGAGCAGATCTCAGGGAAAAGTGCAAAGGTGCACCAAGACAGGGCTGGAGGCGCCTGAATGGTGAGGAACAGTCCTGAGCAGCACTAAAATGAGACAGACATCTGCTGCCGTACAGAAATTGATCAGAATCAGGAATGGCCCTAAATGCAATCCAAAAAAAAAAAAAGAGAAAAAGAAAAAATAATGGCTTCTATGACCATTGGGAGGTATTCATGTTCCGTCATCTGAAATCTGGGAATAAAACTCTCTAACCCCAACGTTGTGTTACAAAGCAGAATTCCTTCGTTCCCCGGACACTTGAGAAGCAAGCATGCTCTCTCAAACTTCAGGTTCCACGTTTGAACAGCTCAGGCACAGGTAAGCAGTGCATGGGC